GGTGCCATCTTTGCCGTGGGGTGGGATTGCTCCTCTTCTTCCAATTGTAACTTCTCATCTTCCTTGTTTGGGGCAGATGCATGTGCTTTGCTTCCCACTTCTTTTCCACTTCGTAAAATGATGGCTTTTGCAGATTCAAAACCACCATTTGGATTGATCTCCGTAGTGCTTGGTAGCTTACCACTCTCACGAAATTGTCCCAAAAATTCGGCCATTTGGCCCATTTGCTTCTTGAGCTCATTCACCTCCTTTGCTTGATTCTGCATTCCCTGCGCCATTGTGGTTAATAATTGATACGTTTTATCATCATTCATGGACATACTTGAGTTGGTTTGGGATGATTGTGCTTGAGGAGGTGGTTGTGGTGCCATTGGCCTCGGGAAGAAACCCGGGGGTTGTCGGAATCCACTTTGTTGGGCAGGTTGTTGTGCATCCCTCCATCTGAAATTGGGGTGGTCACGCCATCCCGGATTGTATGTGTTAGAGAAAGGATCACCCCTTGGTTGGTTTGGATTCCCATAACCCACGGCATGGGCAGATTCCCACCCTCCATTTTCAATTAATTGAGGGCATTGATCAGATTGGTGTCCTTGAATGGAACATACACCACACATTGTAGTTCCTTGCGGTTTGGGGCCTTCAACAAACTGTGACAACATGGACGTAAGGTTAGCCATTTGGGATTGTAATTCAGAAATAGAACTTACCTCATTGACATGATGTGGCCGTGGGGCATCTCTTTGCCCAACTCCTTCATATTGTTGTGCGTTGAGTGCGCGATTAGCAATGAGAATTTTGGCATCCATGGGTGTCTTATCTACTAGAGCTCCTCCCGCGGATGCATCCAACATTTGACGTTCAATTGGTAAGAGCCCTTCGTAGAAATATTGAAGAAGAAGCTCCTCCTTCAATTGGTGCTGTGGACATGAAGCAACAAGGGTTTTAAAACGTTCATAATAAGTTGGGAAAGATTCACCTTGGTTTTGCTGAATTCCACTAATCTTCTTGCGAAGAAGAATGATTCGTGATGTTGGAAAGAACTTCTCTAAGAAAGCTCGCTTCATACTTTCCCATGATGTGACAGTGCCAGGAGCCAACTCGTACAACCAATCCTTGGCCTTTTCCAACAAAGAAAAAGGAAAAGCCTTCATCTTCAATATGTTGCTATCCACGTTCACCGGTGTCATACTTGAGCATACGACTTCAAACTCCTTCAAATGCTTATTAGGGTCCTCCATTGATAACCCATGGAACTTGGGTATATGATGTAGCAAACTGGACTTCAATTCAAATTCATCGGTCTTCTCAGGGGCTGCCCTAGGGTATTGGATGCAAAGAGGGGCTGCATTGTCCAAACCCGAGGCGGAAAGCTCCTTGATGGTTCGGTTGTCTACTGCCATGGTTGGTACTTCTTCTTCACACCCTGCCGTGGGCTCTTCTTTAACCTCCACTTCTTGCTCTTTGATTTCAGGTTCGGAACTAGAAGGATTAGATGCTTGTAGTTTCCTTTCTCTCCTCAAAGTCCTCTCAAAATCGTCGTTAAAGTCGAATATATTCTCACGAACAGGTTGTGAGCTACGAGTCATAAACTAGTACCTGCACACAAGAGCAAACAAGATAAGTAACACACTTAAAAGACTCGGCACAAGTAAGAAAACAATGGGCCTATACACAGCACAAAAACAAACACACACACACGGTGCAAAAATATAAAACAAAACAGAAACTAAACAAATTAAACAAGACTCAAGACAAGGGATTAGCAACTTTACTAATCCCCGGCAACGGCGCCAAAATTTGTTGTGAAAATTACTTGACACACAAATTAAACCCTATTTGTGACAATTGTAGTAATGAAGTAAGTAGGGATCGTTCTAACCGGGGATTAACTAGGGGTGCTAAAACCTCTAAACTGACTTAGAAACACAAAAAATAAACTTAAAAATGTTTGAAAAGACTCAAGGGACTCAAAACAGATTCACAAGACTCAAAACAAGCTAAAAACTCTCAAAACTGTCTAAAAACACAAACTGGGCAGTTTTGACACTAAACTCAACTTTGGACGAAAATTAGGTTTGAGCTTGACTCAAAATGCTTCAAAACACAAGATAAGACAGATTCTAAGCCTAAGACTTAACAAAATAGGGGGGGGGGAGATTTGTGTTTGGACGAAATTCAATTAATTGGACAGATTGTAAAGAAAACAGATTGTAAAGCAAATTGATGTAAACCAATGGATAATGGAATGGCTAAAGGATTCTTCTCCACACATGAAATATATGCAACTTAAATCAACTTCCAGTTATCGATTCGACAAGTTATGAACCTCGACACTCCAAGTTAATTAGGTCCGCTTAAATTAACCTTAAGATTTCCCTAAGATCATTGAATTGAATGAATATGCATTGCAACCAAATTATTCCTAACAAGTTCTCTATATGAACAGCATGATAAAGATACAAGTTAGAATCATTACGTTCATTGGAAATCATAAGCATCGACAAGGCAATTGTAACTATGAAAAGCATGATACTTTCGCCAGGAATCTACTTAACACGATCATGACTAGTGACCTTCACTACTTGTGGATATAAACTCATAACGATTAGGTGAAACAAATTCATATCTTAGCACCAGATTCAAGCATGCAAATTAAGTGTGCACTCTCAATCAACATACAAGAATAAGTTCTAAATCACATAGTTAAACAGATTATATTCATGACTTATGCAACGATAACTGGAGTAATCAACTTATTTCACATATATATCCATGGTTTCGAATACACCCTTAGCCAAAAACGAATTTAGCCAATCATACTCAGAGCAAAACAGAGATTACATGAATTAGACATTGAAATATAAGAGAGAATACACCTAAAATCGTTCAACAGCTCAGAATGGAGAACCAAACAATTTTGCGCATCTGTCTCCTTCCTCTTGCTTGCGGCAGATTGGATGGGGATGAATTCTGGGACGTTTTGATGATGTAGAACGGTTTGTGGGATGTTTAGAGACACGGCAAGGGATGTAGGATGGGTGTGGATGAGTGTTTGATGGTTGGGAAGTGGTGGAATGGCTGATTGTATCTCTAGGTTGAAGAATGGTGTTTTGGGGTCAATGGATGGGGCTGGAATAGAATGGACGAATTTTGATGATGAATGAGTGATGTGAAGGGTTTGTGAAATTTCTCAATGCCTTTGTGATGCTTGCAGCTGCCTTATTTATAGGGCTAGGAAGGGTTTAGAACTTAGTTGAAACCAAAAGGTTTTGTACTAGAAATTCTATACATGAACCACTTAAAGGATAATGTGTGTAGCTTGGACAAGGTAGGAGACAAGATAGGACGGCTAGTAGACAAGGTAGGACGGCTAGTGACAAGCTAGGACGGCTAGGAGACAAGGTAGGACGGCTAATGACAAGCTAGGACGGCTAGGAGACAAGCTAGGACGGCTAGTGACAAGCTAGGACGGCTAGGAGACAAGCTAGGACGGCTAGGAGACAAGGTAGGACGGCTAGTGACAAGCTAGGACGGCTAGGAGACAAGCTAGAAATTAGGCACCATGTGTGAATAGATAAAGCCTTCTAGAAATAAGGTTTTTAGGCCTCCTTGCAGCTCCCTAACTGAATTCAAGCCTTCAAATTCGTCCATCCTCATGCCTCCATGCTTGCACTATCCAATCTTGGCCCAAAAATGCTCTAGAATGCTCCAAATTGCTTCTTTTTGCATACTTTGACACTAAAACCTGAAATTGCACGAAAATGACTTTAAACACTAAACTAACTGTTGTTTTAGCTAATTAAATGCAAGAAAACAAGCTAACTAAGTAGCATAAATATGCTCCTATCATGAGAAGGTCACTAGTTTGCATGTGGTGTTTTAAAACAAAACATGAAATTGCATTAGCATGGCTATTACACACACTACACTTCAAGGATGATTAAAAGGTTGCTGTTAACATTTGAATAAGGAAGATGAGCTTGGATTAGCTTGTTTGGTGCTAGCTAAGGTTCTTGATGATTTGTTTTCTTGAATGAAATTCTATGAGGGTCACATAGTGGGGAGCTAATGTTTTTCATGTTGCTACTTTTTCATGTTTTCTTTGTTTTGCTCGAGAACTAGCAAAAGCTAAGTGTGGGGGTATTTGATAAGCTTATATTTATACATATTTTATATCAAATTCACTTGTCTTTTCTTAGTTAGTTCCTTAGGGCCTGTTTGGTATTGGATTTGAGTCCAAAGTTTTTAACTCAAAAACAATTTTTAAGTTTTAAAGTAAGAAAACCCGTTTGGTAAGCCCATTTTGCAAAACTGGACTAAAAAAAATTTAAGAACAGCCCATTATAATTTGAAAACAACAAAATTTAGGTTTTAGTATTTTTTTTTTCTTCACAGATTCAGATCGCAATGGAGGTCTGAGTGACCTGCGCTGCACAGACCACGATCAAGCCTTCCGCCTCACCAACCACGAACAACCAAGAGATTCCGGCCAGTAGGGTGAAGGTTCCGGCGAATAGCTTTAAGCTTCGAATCTCTGAGTGGTTGATTGGGGACGAGACTGGGCCATTCTCTTCACTGTCAGGAACGATCACGGTAATGGGTCTTTCTCTTACTATTTTGTTTGGTTCCTCGGAATGGAGAAAATGATCAGAAAGTTGGATTTATGTGTTTTATGTGTTGGGTTGTGAGAAATTGAGTTTATATATCTAATTGGTGTGATTCATTTATGTACTGTATATATATTCTGAGCAGCGAAGTAGAGCCAGTGTGGCATTGCAAATCACAATCCAAACTGATCGATTTCGGTTCCAGGAAGAACAAATACAAGCTTTTGTTCATAAGGACATCGAATCGGACTCAGTCATCTTCGTTCTCGATGAAGAGCGTTCTGGACAAGCCTTATTAGCTTAAGAATCCGATCATCGAACAAGGTCCTCCTCCTCATCTTCTCTGTTCTTTGATATATATATATATATATTAAAAAAAAAAAGAAGAAAAAAACCATGTTTTAATGCTTTGATTCTTCACCACTCGCATTTTACCTAGTTAGTTTCAGAAAAGGATTAGGAACCACCATCTGGTTGTGATTAATTTGCATGAAAAGTGTATTAAAAAATCCATTCTTTGTTAGTCTGATGGTCATAATTTGCTATCCGTTTTTCCATTCAAACTCAACTTTTGAGGAGTTTTTGGAAGTGGGGTTTGTTTATTAGATGGCTAAGAGCTTAAAATCATACTTTTAAGTTGGATTTTTGCTATCTTGAATCGATAGATGGCACGAATTAGCTGATGGGTTCAGATCCTTTTTTTATGCTGACATGGTAAATATGTGGTTGGTTACAAAATTCATATGGTTGCTTGTTTCATAGAATGGATTTCTAACATTTGCTACATGTATGTAGCAAGTAATATTATGTGATATACTTGTTTTATTGGATGGGTCTTTGGAGTAGCCTAAATGTCAAATGTTTGAGTTCAAAAATGAATTTTTCATATTTTCTTTGTGAATGCTTTAATGATAGACTTGGTCTTTGAATTACGTTGTGTTTTTTAGCGATGGTTCTTGTTTGGATTTAATAATAGAAGTCTCGTTTTCATTTTGATCTTTGAATTAAGTCGTATAGTTATGCTTGTGTCTTTGGAAGAGGTAAATGAGTTACTCTTAGGTCAAACTACTCTTATTTTGTTTGATATTCGCATGCATAAAATGCCTTTTTATTTATCATCTAGTTCGTGAAAACTGAGTATATAGTACATACTACATAGAACTGAGTATATATGTGTTTTGTACATTCATAAGTGAATGTAGCTTTTAGCTTTGTATTAATTTCGATATTTTTGTTTACATTGTTCTAGTACGTGTTTGAGAGATGTCAAACAAGGACTTTGAAAATGACCTTGATGATAAAGCTAATTGGCCAAAACCTATTGAAGGCTACTTCATTAGTATGTTGTATGAAGAGACAAAAAAAGGCTTGCAAACCAACACTTTAGAAAAGAATCAGTGGGATGCGATTGACATGAAGTTGTTTGACAAATATGGTAAGAGATACACTCGTGAAAAATTGAAGCAAAAATATAATCGGTTGCGGAAGATTCACCGTAAGTTTGCCAAGCTTGTTAATCATACTGGGATGGGTTGGGACCCTGTTGCAAACACTGTTCAAGCATCGGATGAAGTTTGGGCAGCTTATATTAAGGTATATATATTATATTATATAATGTATTTTCTTTATAGATATGCATTATATAATATTATTTTCTAAGTGTGTCAACCTATATTAAAATTTTACAGAAAAACAAGTTTGCTAGCCGTTTCCGTAGCAAAGGGTGTTCTCATTATGAGGTGCTTGGATAGATTTTCAATAATACCACTGCTACTGGTCAAATGCAGTATGCATCCACCAATTCTCCTCCAAATTCTGATTCTGAGAGAGAGTTAGAAGCTGGGTTTCTTACCACTGATGCACACATTAAACAAAGTACCGGAAGTGGTTCAAGGGCATTTAGTGAGGGACATGAAGGAACCAGTACCAAACGTTGTGCTCTTTTTCCTCCAAGTGATCTTTCCTCGAAGTCAAAGTCATCCAAGTCAACCAAAATGGATGAAGCTATTGCAGCTTGGGCAAAGTCACTTAATGCCAAGACTGATGCTACATTGGAAAAGGTTAAGCGTAAAAGAGAGAGGGAAGTATCCTCCCCATTGAGAAAGTTAAGTACCATTGAAGATTGTATGGAAGTACTTAAGGGCATGGAAGATATTGATGATACCGCTTATTTGAAAGCTTTGGAGAAGTTCACTAGCTCGGATTGGAGGAGGATGTTTATGAAGATGTCTGAGTCGAGGAAAAAATTATGGCTCAATAGTCTAAAATGAATAGTTAGTTTGTGAGTTGATTGTTAGTTAGTGTGTTGATAATATGATAAATTTGCTTAGAATTAATTATAAGGGTTAGCAAGATGACTATGGATATGCTTTTGTGTTTGGTATTGAGATCTTTTGCTTTAGGATGAACTATAATTAAATGAGTATGGAAATGACTAGTTTTAGTAATATGATTAATGTTATGTTATTATCTTATAGTATTGTCTTGTCACTTTGTTTAGCTATTAATTACTTGATAGTTGTAGAATATAATTATTGGTTTGTCTATATAGGATGGATTCAAATGAAGTGGACAACACTGGTTCAAGTTCAGAAAGTGATTCATCATCTGATTTGGATGATTCACTTGGAGAGTTGCTTTTAGTCACAAGATTATATGATCATTACTCATGTTTAAATAAAGAGCCATGCATGACTTCACATTTTTCGAGCCGCCAATATGTGATAGAATTATTGAATGGACATCCACAGAGGTTATTTGATATTGTAAGGATGGATAAAAACACATTCAGAAATTTATACTCGACATTGAGAGAATTGAACTTTCTACAAGATGATAGATCAATTTGTGTGGAAGAGGCCGTATGCATGTTCTTGTTTACTATCAGTCATACAATCCAGAATAGGGTAATTGCTGAAACCTTTCAACATTCAAAAGAGACTGTGTCAAGACAATTTAACAGAGTTCTCAAAGCAATATGTCGACTTGGTACTCGTATAATTCAACCTCCAAATATGGATGCGACACCTTCTGAGATTTTGGGAAATCCGAAGTACGACCCATGATTTCAGGTAATATATTTATAAAGTACATTTTATTATTTAGTTAGATCATGATCATTATTTTCCTATAAAACCTAGAAAGATACATGTTTAAAGCTCTAGAATAACAACTTAGGTTGAAGTAAACTATATTTTGTGTACTAACATGTTATTATTTGAATTATAAAATGGTAGAATTGCATTGGCGCTATTGATGGAACACATATCAGTGCATGGGCTCCTTCATCAAAACAAATTTCATACCGAGGTAGAAAAGTTAGTGTGACACAAAATATTATGTTGGCATGTTCATTTAACATGATGTTCACATATGTCTACACCGGATGGGAAGGAACGGCTAATGACTCAAGAGTGTTGATGGATGCAATAACAAGAGAAGAGAATAGGTTTCCAATGCCTAAAGAAGGTATGAAGTCATTGAAACATATCAAATTACTTGTATTTTCTTTCTTATTGTATTTGGCTCAAGTGAAATACTTATATGCATTGTTCTTGGAATAGGAAAATATTATGTTGTTGATTCCGGCTATGCCAACATGAGTGGGTTTCTTGCACCATATCGCAAAGTGCGTTATCACTTGCGTGATTTTAGAGGAAGAGGTAAACGTCCAAGAGGAGCAATGGAATTGTTCAACTTTAGGCACTCATCACTACGTAATGTTGTTGAACGATGCATTGGAGTGCTTAAGAATCATTTTCCTATTCTAAAGTTGATGCCAAATTATCCAATTAGGAAGCAAAGACGCATTCCCATTGCATGTTGTGCCATGCACAATTTCATTAGAATGCAATCAAGGAATGATACTTTGTTTCAACAATTTGAAGACAATGATGTTGATGTGGTAGATGAAGAAAGCTCGGGGACGAATCAAGAAGGGGAAAACATGCATTTGAATGACGACAATGTTATGAATGATGTTAGAGACCACATAGCTGGATCAATGTGGCCTGATTATGTCAATAACAATTAGTCTCAAAGTTTATTGGTTTTCTAGAATGTTTTAATGTAATATTTATTGTCTTAAGACTTCAAGTTTAATTTGATTACCGAGCATATAGGTGTTGTATTAGCACATGAATATCAAAATAGTACGTTTAAGGTTTAATTTCATATGGTTTGTATATCTTAAAACAAATACATAATTGAAAAAAAAAATTGTTGTTTTTAAGAGTTAAACCAAACAAGTTTTCAAATTTTTAGATTCAAAAATAGTTTTTAAGTTCAATGCCAAACACGTTTTTGAAACCTAAAAGAATCTGTTTCTAAGAAATGTTCTTAAAAGTTAGTTTTAAGAACAATTCAAGTTGTTGAGTAGGATACCAAACAGGCCCTAAAATTCCTCTCTTTTTTTATTTTTATTTTTAATAAGAAGAATGTTTGGTTTCATTGTATATTACAAAAAATTCAAAAAAATACGAACAAAAACTATACAAGTAATTCATTTAATTTAATTTCAGGGCGAAGAATTTCTTACCTGCATTGCTTTTTGCTCCTCTAGGTTATGACCAAAACTCGTCCGCGAGTTTATCGGCAGTGAAAGATCAAGGCTTTATGGCTCAATGGGTTTAGATTTGGCTAAAGATCGAGGCTTTGGATCGAATTCGAGCAGCCAACAAAAGCTTCAGCCCGTCCCTTTTCTCGTTGGAGTTTTGCTGAGTGATGACAGCCTCTGTCCAGTGCAAGGTTCCCAACTGTTTGCCTGTTCTGTTCTTTTGTTCTATTGTTGGGAAAATTGCATTTCAGCCCTGCAATGCTAGTACACCAACTTTTTAAGCTAAGGTAAATTTTATAAATTATATGGCACATCCTATGATTTACAAATTGATTTTAAAAAGTTGATATACCTAAAATTACTTTTGAACTCATTGACATTATTTTGGCTAAAGTATATTTGACTTATAATTGTTAAAAAATTTGGAAAATCGATTGTATAAAAGTATTATTGTGTAAGGGAAGTGTTATTGACACTTCAAAAATCTTATTCTACACTCCACACAAGTGTATTTTTCTTTCCTAATATAGAAAGTTTGGAGTGTAGAATGAGATTTTTGGAGTGCTAATAACAATTCCCTTATGTAAAGGGAAATTTTATTTAAATACATGTAACCTCTTTCTACCCCCAACTTAAATTTTAGATGTTAATTGTCTTTTTTACCCCATTGCATAATTACCATCAAGTACAAGATGAAATTAATAATAAAACTAAAATTTATCAATAAATCCACACACTATAATTAAACTCCACCATGACTCCTTGTTTATCTTATGTTCATTTCGGCTAAAACCCTATAATTTTTATAGAGAAAAAAAAGTTTTTTTCAGTCCGAGGAAAGTTCTTCTATCGTCTATGCAACATTAGCTGTTGATAAGGAGTTGCAACTAGACAAGGTGAAAGAAAAATGTTAGTTTCCAACTGCAAGCTTTCAATGCACTTTGAGGATGCTGTGGTGAGATTTCTTCAAGCATCGTATACACACATAATTGAAAAGTTGGTGTTTGTGGAACTTTTCAAAGCCAAAAAAAAAAAAAAAAAAAAAAAAACAAAGGGTACTCTCTCTTTCATTTAGCATGAATGGTCCCTTGCATGTCGATCAGTGCAAACCTTGCTATGAAGGTACCCAAGTCCATTATAAGATAAAGCCGCTCCACCCCCCAACCGAAACACCCACTTGAGCTTCATCATTACTGCTTCCAACAACCATTGGTACTGTTGGACCTCTTGACCTCCATCTCTGTCTTGCATGCTCGTTCTTCACGCCATTACACAACCAATTTCTTGAAAACTCTGTCTGTAGACTGAACATCCCTGAAGCATCAAACACTTAACAACTTGAATTTGATGCACAACTACTGTAACTACTTGGTGTTGGTGATGAGAGAGAGAGAGAGAGAGAAAGAAACCATGTGTATGCGTATGTGTATATGTCGGGGATGGCAACCATGGAAACATGAAGGAGGTTGCATTTGCAGGCATGGGAAATGCTATAAATAGGTGTAAAGATTATTTTACATTTTAAATTGGGTTTGGGAGGATAGTTTAGGTAATAACTCTGGGTTTAAAGATATATTAATTCTTTAATAAAAATTAATATGGGTGTAGATAGTAAGTTGGGTGTAAAGAGAGGTTACATGAGTTCACATAAAATTTCTCATATTTCATTTAAATCAACAACTCCAAATAGTAATGAATGAGTAATGGTAACAATAAATTATGACTTGCCTCACTAATTTGAGGTGTGTAGTAAGGTACGGAATGCCTCGTCAAATATAAACCCCACAAATTTGGCGTGAGAAAGATGAGCATCCACGGTTGATAGTATTTTGGGATAGTTGTGGAATAAAGGAGGTTAGGGCTTCTAGTGAAGATGGCAACTGAAGGTGAAGAGGGACTTGAGGCAATGATCAAGGAGAGGGAGGTTAAGCTTGAGGGTTACGGTTTTCTTATATCGCTCTACTTGTTGTGCTTTACCTCTCAAGTGTATCGATGGTCTCAATTCATAGACGTAGGAACTCTTCAAAACCCTAGTTAGGGAATCCCTTGGTCTTCTCGTCTCTTCTTGTTTTGTCAAGTCTTCCCTTCTATTTTTCATTATTGTAGCTACATCATAGAGTAATACTTTGGAGAGTCAGTAGCTTCGTGAAAGCTAGATAAATCGCTAAGCCCAAAGCCTTCTTTTTCCTGCATGAAATTTCACAACAAAGCTCTATATTTTATTATGCTTCTCTTTGTTTTCTCCCTTAATTTCATGCACGAGCTTTAAAGGGCAAGGTTATTCCAGCATAGATCTAGGCAACGCTGAGTTTTGAATCTGGTTAGATTTTAAGTGTTTTTGTTGGTTTGTAAAGAGGGTAGGAACTTTTAATCTCACAGCCTTCCAACATGAGATTAGAGATTGTAGGCTTAGATTTTAGTACTCCCAAGCGGTTCAAGATCTCTACAGGCTTCAATTCCACATAGATCGGATGACTTTTGTATTCGTCGATACCACAACCCACTCAGCAAAGCCCGTTATATGGCATTTGCCTACTTAATCATATCTAGTGAAGAATATTTTAGCATAATTTGAATTAAAATGTTAATGTATTAGTATAAACTTACTTCAATATAACCCGGCATGATGGATATGTTGTTGGAGTTATGCCCTAAATGCCAATTTCGTAATGGGTGGTGCTATGCACACACCCATTTTTACCTCTCATACATCCCTCTTAATTTTTAGCTATTAGATCGAATGAATTAAAGAAGATAAAGAGACTAAAATTAACAAGGGTGCGTATGAGGTAAAAAATGTTGTGTGAATAGCACTATCCTTTTGTAATATTGGATATTATGTAGCAACTCCATTTTAATTAATTAATCAGAGGGCAAGGTTAATTAAGTTATGAGTTTTGGCTTTATATTATAGAGATA